TATTCTTATATAAGTAACTCTTATGCTTCTCTGCTTATATTTTCCAAGTCAATGTTCTTTCTTTTCATTTCCTTTCATATATCATATATTCTCTTCCATATATTTTGTTCGTTATATTCTAAACCATGGATTAACCTGGGAACCATGTCTTTCTTATTACCACACTTATTATACTTACAGCGGTAGCCTGCCACTACCCAGGATTTTATTAGAATATAACATATCTTAGTTAACTGTTAGGTAGCGAGCTTCTAGGCACGTGAGTTAGTTATTTTCTGAGAACCAATGTGGGAAAGGATAGAGTGGTGATACTCGTAGATTACTAATTCAATATTTATTAACACAGTGAGTGAATAAGATGTACCTTAGATTCACTCAGACAAAACAGAACTGCAATTTACTTATTAAGTCATCAAACACTTCAAGAACTTATTACCTCATTAACTACCTCCAAATACTTATTACTTCATAAGACAATTGTGGTATTATCACTCTGACAAATGAGATTCAGTACTGGGTATACACCAAATATCACTGGACCCTCAGGTCTTACCTAACCAAGTAGCAAATTAACTCTTCACTTCTTGGTTATATCATTATACTCTCAGATTATCATTTCATGGTCACTACCGATGAATACATAGCACACTGGACAACTCCACAATTATCGCAACCTACAATACCTCCTGTTAATTGGCAAGGAACAACATGGCAATTTTAACTCTCATTCAGTGGTTCAATACTTAACCTGGGATACTATATTTCGGCGAGATATCCCCCAAACAAGATACAATAATACTTAGGCCCATGTAACTGTGAGGAGTGCCCCAGGGCAACGCTGGTCTCAACAACAATTGAGGATCGCTGTTAGGGGTCGGTTGTAGACCGACACACGCCCAGGGAGCTGGCGCCTGATTTGCAGGAAACAGACTTCCCAGTTTAATCCTGTCGAATTAACGGCATCGTCCAACCCGGTTACTGACCCACAGTAGCCGATGAGTATTCAGCTCAACACACTGGAGAGACGTTGAGGAAGAGTCACGAATGCGTAAATGTCTAACTTCAACTATACAAAACATACGCCTGGCAACGGTCCAGACGATATCTAAATCTCTACGTTACTCGACTTAATTGGCACAGAATTCACTATGTTAACACATGAACACTGATATTCACCAAAATTGACTAAGTTAAACTGAATTAATAGGCGGCGGGAACACACGTTAACATACATGGAGAGACGTTGAGGAAGAGTCACGAATGCGTGATTCTCCCTCGTGTAGAGGTATATACGTGCACCCGCGGGGCAGCTTGGGCCTCCGTATTCATACCAGAAAGGTCGATCTCACCAACAACATAACTTCTCTACCATTTTGGATCACTGTATACTTAGTTATGAACTCCGATGTTCTTGATCAGGGTAATTTCCTATGTATATTCATATAATCTAATCAGAGGTTGAGCTATACTGCCAGCCTGGGGTCACTAAATCTAAGGGGATAACTTAACTCTAATCTTAATGTCTAAGGGTCGCTGCCACCAGACCCCCTCTGGACAGCATGTAGCTCGTTAGGTAGCCGGCAGAGCGGACTAGGCATTGGGTTAGGTTTTCCATTGATCAGATCGATAAGGGTAAAGAAGGGTGAAACCATAACATGTCTTCATTGATTTATTTCTTATAAAACACACTGGTAAAAAAAACATACATGAATTGGCCTTCCTCAGAAGAACAACGGAATTTTGGTTACCCAACTGGGCCCCAGACTCCTACATTACTGGCGGGTCATCCACCCACTTATTGCACAACAATCGGTGAACGCCGTATCTCGGTCGTTCCTTCTTACAATATCCCTTAACACATCAGACTGTGCCACTGGTGTGGCTTGTAGCACCGTCGGTTATCATATATAGTCGCACCATCGCAACACACCTGTTACACTCCATACCTGCAAGTATGTGACTCCTTGTGACTTTTAGGTATACACAACGGGCCCCTCGTTCGCACACCGCCCTCGGTGGGTAAAGACGGGGGCTTCACTCAGAGACATACCAGCACTATTTCTACGCCTGGTATTATAGGTCGCTCCAAGTGACGACCGCAGTTTCTCAAGGTCTCCTTAGTTGTGACTATTCATGTGGAGTGGTGCGCTGGGAATCCACCGGTTCATAGTGGACTGGTATAGTGGGGAGTAATTCCCCACCTGGTGTGGCGCTCCAGGAGACAATGGCGGCCGGGCGGCAAGATACCCCAACCAAGTGGCACCTTAATTGTAGGGCGGGATATAGCCCGCTAGGGCATTGACCTGTGGTGACGGCAGAACGGGAAAGACTAAGGCCGGCTTCCCGCCGCTTCTCTTCACATAGGCCTACCGTTTCCAATCCTCAATTTACACTTTTGTTTCTTATGGTTCTCACCTGAACACTTTACGGTATATTGTCACTCATTTCTTATAAACACATATATTAATCCTAAATTACACACTAAGGTCAGGTCTTGGTTTGCTAGTGCTTGGTTAAATGCCTGGGATTTTAATATCAACGGGCATCTGAGGCGGGTACATGACGCGCCTTGAAACAAAAGCCGAATGATCATGGCGGGGGTGTATCAACTTCACTTAAAAACTGTAATGAGGGATCCTCCTCTCACACAGTGCACTATTTGAACACAGACATAAGGTTCTCTGATCACTGTACCTGTCGTGGGTATATGTCACGTGAGGCTACGAGGTGTATTAAATTCATACCGACGCATACACGATATTTCCTTTCCAGTATAGTTTCTAGATCACTGTCAACACCTCACATAGTCCTGATACATTTATCCTTTTTCCAGATCATTGTTCTCATGTATTTTCATATGATATCTGTTGGAGTTAGGTTCGCTACACGCTCACAGACGTAAATAGTAGGACCTTCAAACCCTGCTCCACACTTAGTCTTACAGTACCCTAGTCCGGCTCAACTGGACTTTAACATTCATCTTATGCCTACCCTGAGTGATCCTTAATGCTATGAATACATACACTTGATATGATATAACTATACCTGGGTACAATACCACACATGGTCTAGGAACCTTGAGTAGGTGAGTTGTCCTTTCTCAATGTTTCCCATTTTCTGGGGGTTCTACAAGCACGGTGCATTTGAATGTTATGTAGCGTAATATGAATTAGATGGGATTTTTAGGGATGACAATGATGTGCGCAGTACAGAGCTTGCCAGGAAAAGGTGGAATATACACGTTGATAACATTAATTCTGCAAGCTCAGGCCTGACGCGAACAAGGAGCTATTCACGGGGAGACGCTAGATCTTGGAGATTATACCAGTTGACAGAATAGTTCAGGAAATTAATGACTTTCTTAAATAGACAACTGACACTAACTAAACTATAAACATCAGATTCTCTGATGTCGGGGCGACAAAATGATATAACTTCAGGCGCGATCAGAAACTCATGGATATTCCCACGGACGACATAAAATACGCCACTCTAGCTGGCAAACTCGACACTTACTTGACACGTTTTACTAACATTAAGGACAGTTGAAGCGTTCAACACCACTCACAATGAATCTTGTATGTTCCAACTGTAAACAGACATATCTAAGTTGACTCAAAACAAGGGTGTTCTCTCTCACTCAAATTCATTTTATATAGAGGTTGGTTTCAGTAAGTCAGAGAAAATGGGATAACGGAGGACTGAGGTGTCTTGAAGTGACGAGAAAACGGACTCTTCAGATGGAGGACTCAAACGAAAGCAGAGTTACATGTTTTGTGGGCTATTGAGTGTCATATGAATCATTTGATTTTGGCGCTAACTGACGTGTAAGACCGTGGTCGTTACTGCAGGTACGGACGAGGAGCGAGGCTTACTTCAGTGGAACTACCATCTTGATGCCAAGGAGCCACTCAAGCACTCATCTGACCCAAGCGCTCGCTGCTATGACCTACCTGGTGGCATGAAGTTTCTCGAGAGGTTAGTGAAGATGCTCTTTGGTTGTATTTTACCACCTAGCAAGATGTGCCTTAAGTTTATTCCCCACCTCTGTGACCTGGCCATAATTTTTGCTAGTTTGTTCACATTTTGACACATTATATAAATACTAAATTAATTTTTCTACCTTTCAGATGGGATTGGCCTCGCTATGTTCCATTCTTGCCCATGTTTGAAGGTTTCAGGGAAAGGAAAAAGAAGATTAATCCTGAAAACATGGTAGCGACTTTACCTGAGCCCTTCCTTGATTCAATGTAGAGGCTACACGCAAATTTATCGTTAATAAAGATGTCAATACAGGCACTATTTACCAGACCGTTTGTTTGACTGAGACGACAATATACAGTGCCTAATATGTCCTTAATTGAAGTGACAGTAGTACAGTGCTCCCCCCAAGTACGCTGGTAATTGGTGCTAACAGAGCTGTGCGTACTTGGGAACTGTGTACTGTACATGGGCACTATAAACTAGTGGAAAAAATCAATTGGTTTCGGGACCCCTCCAGATACACACCAATGTTTGTTATCCCTGCACTCACTGGGATAATGCCTCCTCAATATTACATTGTAATTCAATTGACAGTAGGAACATAATAGAATCTAGGCTCATTAAACATACCGAATTCGTTAACATGAATTTGAGTAACGGTATGTACATATTGGACAATTTTGTAATTAAGAAGATTTATAACCAGGTGAGAAGGTTGGGTCAGTTTTCCCTCTGACCTGACTACCGACCGCTGCGGTGCTTTTGTAAAGATTAGTAGGGTCATTACCTATACTTGACCTCTGTGGACTTGTTCTCACCCTCCTCTGTATATATATAACTTGATCTGCACTTCTATTTTAGTCTGTACTCAGTCCTCCGTTATTCCATTTTCTCTCACTTACTGAAACCAACCTCTCTTGTTTTATTAAACTATATAAAATTAGTTACTTGTATTATAATAAAAAATATACATACTTGCATCAGCTATTTTTCAATTACTAATAAGGTGATAATTGTCCAAAAGATTATGACGAGCTTCTCTTTCACGTGAATTTGTTGATAAACATTTGGGTCTAACATGCCAAGTGACAACCAGACATGCCGAATGGACTTGTTAATTTTAATAAACTGAGTTAATAGCCTTTATATAATGATAAATATCTTCTAATAACCTTAACTACAATTAACCAAGTCATATACTGTATATCTGTGTTAGAAATGTTAATGGGTTTTGGAGGTACAGTAGTAGTGGTAAAATCCTATGCACATACCTGACTGACAAACGATCACACCTATAACCATGTTTATTAATTCCTCTTTTAGATACACTATATTTCCATCTCGTGTAGTGATATTTTTATTATGAATGTCACTAGTTAGACCTGTCTCTTTTTTTTTCTTCTTATATTACTTTATATAGTGAACTCCTGCATAATAAATGTTGAAACCTACGATACTGATGTATAATAAGACAATACAATGCTTTAAATATTTAATGTAATACACAATTGTATTTATTCCGATGCTCTTTTGTTTACCTCGCGCATGAGCAGTGAGGAGTTAGTGTCTTTATCTCCCAAACCTTATTGTGTTGTGAAGTGAGTGAGAGGGTGGACGTGTTACGGACAGCTTCCAGTGAACTTTACATTTCCTCACCGCTGGTTACATTTTGGGCAGCAGATAGAGCTATATACTTCTGTTGCTGTAGTAAATTATCTTCTCGGCTTCGTTGGTTCTTGTTAAAGGTAAGAGAAGACGTGAAAGAGTAGTGTTAATGATGGTGGCTGCGTGAGGCGGACTTCCGTCGTGGTAATCTTGATGTCTTGATCTGGGTTGACGGCAGGAAGATGTGTCAGGTACTTGTCAGTTTCTCAGTTATGTTAGATGATAATGCCATATAAAAATAATACTGTGGGCGTTGACATTATCCCTTGATGGTAATACGACATACTTTCTCCTTCCCTGTAACATTTGGTTATACTGTACGTATATTGTTAAGGTTGATTAAGATATCAGGTTAATATTCATGGCAGATGGTTATAATTTCATTAGAGATCATGAACGGGAAGTTATTATATGATGACCGAGATAAAAATACTGAAGTAATACTCTATGCTACAGTATTTAGTTTTAGGCGGAAATTTTAATTTTTGTAGTTATTTTAATCAGAAAGTTGAGAAAATTTGTACATCTTTGGCGGTTCTCAAGACTATAAATCTTATTATTTACTTCTTCACCGGTCAAGGTTTGGTAAAGTTAGGACACGTTAGGTCAGGTTACCTTAGGTTAGGTTAGGTTTGACTGAGAAATTTGTTTGCGTGTTTTTACTCTACAATTTACCTCGACCTCAAAGCCCTTTCTACTTTGTGTGTTCATTGTCGTTGGTAGTGGGTTATATCTCCGTAAATATTCATATAGGCCAAAAATAAAGGTCATAATCTTTTAAATTGCCATTATTTATAAAAGAAAAAATATATTTTTATTTGTGATACCCATCCATGCCCTTTACCAAACGTTTTCCAAGACGAGCAGCACTTATTGACTTTGAGTGAGTGATCAATCCCCAAGGGTTCCATGTTGATCCATTACACCATACATCATGTGTTAATACAGGAGGTGACCAGAATACCATACTGTACCTGTAATGTACCTGGTGTTAGTTCAGGAGGTGACTGGAGGACCACTGGTTAATGCTCTACCACAGGACTACCAATACTGTACAGTGTTAGGATAGGCTGAAGGTTGAACTGTTGTCTTTTTATGTAAACATTGATTTTGAATATAACCTGATGATTGCAGTAGTTCACATCAAGAGGAGGATAGATGCATTGTACAGTATAATTGTATAGCGATGTTGTGCTTAGTCTGGTCAAACTGGTGAAGGCTGCTGCCACCACTAAACTACCTGTATTGTTAATATATTTTTTGAAGAGAAGATATGTCTTTTCATTTCAGGTACTATTTTAGATAACTAACTATAGAAGAAAACTTATTTCATACTTCAAGAGTAACACCCCCAAGAATAAGGAGGGGGTATTGCAATTGTCCTATTTTTGTTTTTCTAATTTTTTCATCTGGACCACGAATGTACAGTATGTCGGCACGGTAGGTACCTGGGATGCCTCCATGACCTGTATATGTTAGCAGCAAGACACAAACATTTCATGAACATTAAGGCTTCCCTTTCATAAACACGAGAAATTGGCATCAACTTTTGAACCTTTGTGTAGATTATTAAAACAAAAAAATCTCATAAAATAATAGGCATTGGTTATTTTTTGAATTCATGGACTTTTACTTACTTCTGCTATTTGTCTGTCATCCATTCTGATTGATCAAGTTTGGTGACATTGATCCTAGGGTAGCTACTGAATTTAATCATTTACAAACCTAACCAATCTACTTTACCCAATATAACCTAATACTGTATAACCTAACCTAACCATGTTGGCAAGTGACCAAATTCAGTAATATAGGTTCAGTGTCATCAACATCGATCAATCAAAATAGATTGCAGACACTTAGCAAAAGTAAATAAAGCTCATTGGCCAGACAAATAGCAACAGCATACCAACAAATAGCAAGGATTTATAGCAATTTCCACATTATTTCAGTGACTTGGTCTTGGCAGTGTGTCTTTTAATTTTTTTCGATTTACTGTATTGTTTTATAACTACTGTACCATTATCTACTATTGAATTGTTGAATTGAATTGTAACAGTTTATTTAGCCAGAAAAAATACAGATACAGAGTGGATAATAATAACAATATTAACATGGCTGAGCCAGTTGAGAACCTGAGCTCTCTTTGAGGCACCTGATATATACTATACATTTATCTCAAGGAAGTATTATGTAACATTTAGTATTATCTGGAATAGTACAATAGCATGGTAGTAATAAGTACATCTCATAATGTTACCACGGTTATCACTTTAATATTTATTTATTTTATTTTTATTTTTTATTTATTTATATATATATATTTTTTTATTATTATTTATACATCCATATACACATACCCATACACAGGGCTGTGGAATCGGAGTCGGAGTCGAGGAGTCGGAGGAAATTTCGGCTTGTGGAGTCGGAGTCGGTAAAATTGTCCAGACTCCGACTCCGACTGAAGCTATTCTGTTCCTAAGAACAAATATATGAACTCAGGCATATTCATTGCAGTGATTCCACTGATCCCACTAATTTTCTTAAATTATTAATAGAATTTATTTCCATTTTATAAGCATTATTATGAATTTATTGTAGCAGGCACAGTATAGCACTATAATTTTGGACGATAGTCTCTTCTTTACCATTTGAAATTTTGAATTATATCAAATTTTGTTTCATTGAAAACTGCACAGAGGCTCTCAGCTACAAAACAATTAGCTACAACCTGTTTTTGGTGAGATTAAGGCAAATTTAATTTTATAACTTAATCATGTAAGGTTTATCCATTTTCCTTAATAAGGTATTCATTTCTTTAATGTACATAAATATATAACTTTAATTTAAAAGGAATTGTAGAATCATCATTTAGATCCACATCAGATTATGAGCTTAAACAAAATTCATATGCTGAGATCGAACTTTTAGATATACATGTAAATGGTGTTTTCTAGTTAATATCTTGAATTCTTAATAAATTTATTTTTCTTTTGATTGAAACTTTGAAAGTCAAGCCTATCATCTTTTTGTAGTTCTTAAATATCGTCCAGATCATTAATAAAGCTGTAGCAGTATAGCCACGGTGTTTTACTTTTTACCTATGCAGGTTACAACATACAAATTACAATTAGGATGGTAGAAATAGTTGTTACAAATAGGCCAAGGAGTCGGAGTCGTAGAAGCATAAAAATTTGAGGAGTCGGAGTCGGAGTCGAAGGTTTTGTCTTCGACTCCACAGCCCTGCATACATACATACATATAACACACACATCCATACATACATATAACACACACACACACACACACACATACATATAACACACACACACACACACATACATATAACACATATATATATATATATATATATATATATATATATATATATATATATATATATATATATATATATATATATATATATATATATATATATATATATATATATATATATATATACATATATATATTTATATATATATATATATATATATATATATATACACACATACATACACATCACATATACATATAAATTAGAGTGGAATTTAAAAACATAAGTATAATGGGGGAGCAGTACAACCTGGGTTGTGCAGTAATAAGGTTGAACAAGAGGACAGAGCTTTCAGGATTATGTCTAGTTGGCAATTATGTTTATTGCAATGGTAATTACTTATTTATTTACATGATAATTTCCGATAAAACGGATTTGGTGGTACAATAAAAGCAGGTACTGTAAATATAGTAAGTGTTACAAGAAATATTAATACTTCGACAATATATATTTTTTTAGAGATGATTTAAGGGAAGGGAGCGTTAGTCTTTGCTCGGATGGGTGGGGGTAAGTTGTTCCATACCTTCACACCATGATATTTTATGGAGGTCTGGGACTGTGAGGAGCGCATGGGGGGTGGTCTTAGTAGCTCTGGGTGTCTTAAGTTGTATCTCTGATTATTCCGGAACTGGAAGTAATTATTGTCAAGCAAGTGATTGATGGATTTGTAAACAAAGAGGGCACAGCAGTAAGTGTTAATATCTTCAAATTTTAAAAATTTCAATCTAGCAGATTTTTCGTTTGTGTGATCTGTTTTTTTCAAGTAGGTCATTGTCCGTACAACTCTCTTTTGTGCAGTAACCAGAGATTGTGTTTTTAAAGAGCCAGAGGCCCCCCTTAGTGTGTGACAGTGTATCAGGTGTTGGTAAACAAGATCATGATAGATTTCTTTCATTGCTGTGAGAGTGAGTGACTGTCGAGTGTGATACATGATACCGCACTGTTTATTGCTCATATATCCATCCAACCTATGTTTGAAGCTATCCAGCGTATTCGAGTTAATGATGATGTTTGATAACTTGTTCCACTCGCCCACTACTTTATTTCCAAACCAGTGTTTACCTATTTCGCTCCTAAATCTAAATTTGTCTAATTTAAAACCATTGTTATGAGTTCGCTCCTGGTTGGATAGTTTGGGTACCTTTGTAATGTCTCCTTTGTTTAGCCTGACTTCCATTTATACACCTCTATCATATCGTCCCTCACTCTGTTTCTCGAGGGAGTGCAAATTAAGATGCTTTAACCTGTTTTTGTAGTCAAGGTTCCTAATGCCCGGGATTAGTCTTGTCATTCTCCTCTGGATTCTTTCCAAGGATTCTATATCCATTCTGTAATATGGTGACCAGAACTGAACTGCGTAATCCAGGTGAGGTCTCACAAGCGCTAGTTATAATTTTAAGATGACCTCGCTGGTCTTGTAACTAACACTCCTTTGTATGAACCCAAGTACTTTATTAGCCTTGTTACGAGCAAAAACACATTGTTTACTTGGCTTAAGATTCCTACTTATCATTACTCCTAAATCTCTCTCGCAGTCGAATTCCACAATGGCATCGTTGTTCATCTGGTAACTGGTTTCCCTGTATATCTCCTATACTGAGTACTTTACAGTTGTCGACATTGAATTTCATCTGCCATTTTTCCGACCATTCAAAAAAATTTGTTTAGATCTTCCTGTAGTTTTGCCGAGTCCTCGTCAGATTTAATTACACGTCCTATTTTAGTGTCATCAGCAAATTTACTTAT